CCTCTCATTCTTTCTCTTCTTCTTCTCTCTTTTTCTTTCTTTCCTCTTTTTCCTCTGTCTGTCCTTCTCTCTCCCTCTTTCTGTCTCTCTCCCTGTTTTTTTCTCTCCTCTCTCCCCTCCTCTCTTTTTCTTTCTCCCTCTCCCTTTCTCTCTCCCTTTTTCTTTCTCTCTCCCCTCCCTCCTTCTCTCTCTCCCCTACATTCTCTCTCTCTTTTATATTAATCAATCCTTCAATCAACAAACATTTATTAAGTTCCTACTATGTGCCAGGCAAGGTGCTAGGGTATGGGAATATGGGTACAAAGAATAAACTATCCCCACTCACAAATCAATCAGTAAGTATTTATTCAGTGGATACAAAGACGGGCAAGAATGTAGCAAGACACGGTCCAAGCCCTTAGAGAGCTCACATTCTAATAGGCAAGACAAAGAGAAAAGAACTGTCTAGATGAGTGTAAATAGAAAGTAATCTGGGAGGTGAGGCTTCCTCTGTGGGGGTGAGGGAGGAGAGCACAGGGAAAATCTTCTGGGAGAAGACACGACTTGAGTTGTCTTGAAACAAGCCAGAGAAGGCAGAAGCCAGGCGCTTACAATCTAATGGTGGAGACAAGCGCATACATAAATGCATCCAGCATAAAAATAAAGTGAATAAACACAAATATAAACGAAGTAGGGAAATACAAGTAGTCTGGGAAAGAGGTCACTAGCCACTGCGGGGTGGGGGGGCGGTTAGGAAAGGTTTCATGCAGAAGATGATGTCAGAGCTGCATCTGAAAGGGAAGAGATGGTTCTCTCAGACAGAGAAGAGGAGGGAGTGCACTTCAGGCAGGAGGTATGACCAGTGCAAAGGCAGGAATATAGGTGTTGGAATGTTGTATAAGAGGAATAGAGAGAGGTCAGTTTGGCTGTGGGTGGGCAGTGTATGAGGGGCAGTGTAAGGCTGGAAAAGTAGGTTGGGACCAGGTGGTATATAGGGCTTGCTTTTTTATTTTTTGCTAGGCAATGGGGTTAAGCGACTTGCCCAGGGTCACACGGCTAGTAAGTCTCAAATGTCTGAGACTGAATTTGAACTCAGGTCCTCTTGACTCTGGCCAGTACTCTATCTACTGCGCCACCTAGCTGCCCCAATATAGGGCTTTAAAAGCTAAACAGAGGAGGTTGTATTTTATCCCGGGAGCTATAGGGAGGTACCGGAGTTGACTGAGGAGGGAAGTCACAAGTCAGATCTATGCTTGAGAAAAATTACTTTGGCAGCACTGAACAGTGTAGGACTTGAGGCAAGGAGAGTAGCTAGAAGGCTGCTGAAATAACCTATTTAGGGGGAAAGTGATGAGGGCCTGAACTAAGGTGATAGCTGTGTGAGCAGAGAGCAGGGCTTGCATTGAGGAGGAATTAGATATGGTAACTGATTGGATAAACAGGGTAAGGGTAAGATGTTGCTCTGGGGGACTGGGAGGATAAGGAATCAATATAGGTAAGCAAAGCAAATTAATGTATGGTCTTGTCTGCATATACCTATATCAATATCTATATGTCTATATATCTATACATATACACACATATGTGTCTATCCACATCTATATCTATATATATGCCTCCTGTGCTTCTAATTGCATTGATAGGACTTTTGAAGTCTTTCCTTTTTTTGCCATCTTTGCCAGTCTGATGTGTATGAGGCAAGAAGTGAAGATTGTTTTAATTTGCATTTCTCTTACTATTAGTGATTGGGAGTACTTTTTTTTTTCCATATGGTTGTTGATAACTTGAATTTCTTCTTTTGAAAACGGCCTGCTCATATCTCTTAACCGCTTATCTGTTGGGAGAAAGTCAGAACCCACCAGTGGCTCCCTAATGAGGCTAGGCTAGCTCAGCCTAGAACATCTGGTTGGGCCCCCACCCTATCTGCAAAGGCAGGTGTGCTTTTGTTTTTGTTTAGCTTCAACATTTTAATTATTTTTACTTTGAAAACAAAACAGAACAATGGCAAAAAAGGGGCAGCTTAGAACTGGTTCATTTGGCCTTTTTCTTTTTGCCTCTCAATTCACAATGCCCGCATTTCTCAAAGGCCAGAATCCTCTTAGATCTGCATTTAGACTCAACACATTCCAGTCTCAATATCATCTTTTGTAGTCTTGGCTTTTTTGGGGGGGCAGGGAAGGGGTAACATTGACTTTGACCATCATCTCTTTCCAACTGGTCGTAGAACCTTATCTCCTGAACATACAGGAAGTCTTTGCCTTTCTGGTCCTGTGTTACATTATGAGGTTAGTGGCTGCCAAACATGCCCTTTGTGCACTAAATTCCATAGGTTTTGGGGATGTTTACCATCTCGGTGGCCTAGAGCAGCAGAAAAAGATGGTCAAGGTTAGGTTTTAAGAGCCAACGGAGTTGCTAGGGATACAAACACAAAACCAAAGCAAAACAGCCCCTGCCCTTACGGAGCTTAAATTATACTGTTTCTTTCCCTTCAAGGTCCCATCAGTCCCTGGCTCTTCTCCTATGCCTTTGTCCTTTACACCTTCAGCTTCTCATCCCAACCCCTCTCTCCTCTTTCCAAATACCAAGTACAGTGTACTGGAAAAAATCATGGTCTTGGAGTCAAGAGAAACCAAGGCTCAAATTCCTCCTCTAACTCTTAGGAGATGAATAACCATGGGCAATATTCCGTTCCATTCTTATAGCATATTTTGTTCCACCATTCCCCCACTGACGTGCAGCCCTTTGTCATCTTAGAGGTAGCGAGGTGCTGGATCTGGAGTCAGAAGACCTGGGTTCCATCAGTTCCTAATGATGTGACCTCAAGCAGGTCATTTCATCTCACTCAGCCTCAGTTTCCTCATTTGCAACATGGGGATAATAAAACTTACTCTGCTTACTTCACAAAGCTGTCACATAGAAAGTATTTTATGATCTGTAAAAGGGTTCCATGAATAAGCCCAAGGAATTCACAGACTTTGGAGGCCATCTGGTCAATCCGTACAAAAATCTACTCTACAATAACTTTGGCAAACGGTCATGTCTTCTTCACCCCCATTAGACCTTCAGTGATGGAAAACTCACTGTCCCTCAAGGCAACCAATTCCACTTTTGAGTAGCTCCCATTTTTATAACATTTTTTCCTTATACAGACCTTAAATCTATCTTTCTTCAACCTGTATAAATTGTTCTTAATTCTGCCCTTTGGGGCTGGACAGAATGAATATACTTCACTCTTCTCACGTGAGTCTTTTTGCACAGATAGGTGCCCCTAGCTAGCACCTTCCTTGGTTGTCTCATGGCAGTCTTCAGGACCTTCACTCTCTGAGTGCCTTCCTCCGGATACAATTTCCAAAAGCATGGCACTCGGAACTGAGCACAATAACACAGAGGTGATGGGATCACAAAAAATAATACAGGGGATATACTCCCCTCCATTTTGGGCACTACATGTGTTTCTATTTCTACATAGTTAGAGTTAGTGTTTTGAGCTTTCACTGTTGACTTATAAAAAAGTATTTTTACTGACATTTCTTGTTACATCATCTTCATTTCAACATACATTCACCCTCCCTCCCTTCCCCAGCAAACTATCCCTTGTAACAAAGAATAAAAATGAGGCAAAAAACCCAATACATCAACTGAGTCTGATAGTACATGCAATATGCTGCACCCAACATCGTCTCCTATCATGGCAAAGAAGGGAGGGTAATTAATTTTCTAATATCTTCTCTAGGCCCCTGTTGTCACTATCATTACATAGCAGTGTTTTTTTTTTTTTTAAATTCTGTTTATTGTCGTGTTTTTTTTTTTAGTTTTTTTGGGGTAAGGCAATCAGGGTTAAGTGATTTGCCCAGGGTCACACAGCTAGTCAGTGCCTGATTTGAACTCAGGTCCTCCTGACTCTAAGGCTGGCGGCTCTATCCATTGTGCCAGCTACCTGCCCCGTATTGTCAGGGTTTTTGTGACTACAGTTTTCCTAGTCTACATTTCCCCATGCTTGTCCATATTTCTCATCATACAGCAATATTCTATGCACCACAGTTGCACACATTACAGTTTAGCCATTCCCCAGTGAATGGATATATTTTCCCCGTCCTCTCCCCCAGTTCTTTGCTATAATAAAAAAACTAGAAATATTCTGATGGAAAAAAGATGTCTTTGACCTCTTAGGAACATACACCTAGGAGTGGGATTTCTGGGTTGAAGGATATGGCCATCGTTAGTCACCTTTAAAAGGAAAAGATTTTAATTCTGATTTGCTTTCCGGAATGGTTTGCCCAATTCATGGTTCTGATTATTAGCACGCTTGCCTTTCCACACACAGCCCCTCCAAAATGGACTATTTCCAAATAGTGTGATCTTTGCCAACTGGCCATGAGCAGAAACCCTTTGCATTTTTAATTATTAATGATTTGGAACTTTATTTCTTACAGCTAAGAGTTTGTAATTCTTTTGAAAACTAGTCAGCCGCATCCTTTGACCACTTCTCCATTGTGGGATGGCTCTTGATCTTATTTTAGTTCCCTACAGATCTCTTCAGTGATATTTGATTATTTTTTCTTATCAGCTTCCCTTTTATCCTAGCTAAACGATTTATGTAAGGCTTTGAATTGAACACAATCAATATCATTTCTTTTGTGACTGCATCTATCCTGGTTAAGAACTCTCCTTTAGCCATCGCTATGATAGGTTGCTATTCCTGTTTTCATTTTCTAATGCACATAACTGCCTCTGTAAGTTTGCCATCTATCAAATTTTCATTTTTGTATTATCTCCTGATGCCTACAGAGATCCAGGTGTGGACGGGGGTGTATGTTATCATTATGCCTTCCCCCATACTGAATTTCAAGGCAGTCAGGCATTGCCCTTGGCACCCCGACCTTCCTTCTCTAGTCAGGGGTAACTGACATTTCTAACATGCTCTTGCCCTCTGGTGGACACAGTGGGAAACAGCAATAGAAGCTTCACCTGACCCAGCCCCTTTTCCATCCCTTGCTGCACTGAAGACACAGTGTAGCCAATCGGGTGCAAGGAGTCTTTATTATAGCAGAGGAAGGTGGCAGGGCCCAGGCCAGACATGCAGCATTCACATGCAGAGACAGCGACATAGGCCAGCAGCCTGGGCAGCCTCAGGGAGTAGCAGGAACCTTGCCACGTAGGGTTGAGCCTGTGCCCAGATGGGATGCCCACAGCACCCCATGCCCTAGGCAGTTTCTTCCATGCTCCCAGCTGGTGCCCTCCTCAGCTCAGTCCACACCTTAACACTCGAGGATACACCTGGCCCAGCCTCTGGCCAACTGTCTCTCCACTTTCTCTCTTTTGGCTGAGAGCGATGGCCCCCTGGGATTTGCAGACAAACTAGGAAGAGGAAGGTTGAGCTCCTTGCCCCGTCGGCAGCTCTCAGAACATACAAGCTGGGAGGAACTTCATGGATTTTCTAGGACAGGCTCCTGAGCATTGAGCAGAACAAACAAGAATGTGGAGCCTGCGACATGTCCCATGGAAGGGTTAAAGAGTAAGGTGGCATGAGGAACGTGGAGGCCTGGGCAAAGGGCAGCACCGAGGGCCCAGCAACCCCGCAATCTGGCCAGTGGTGGCAAATATCCATCCACCCACCGGGATGCAGACCACCCATGACAAAGGGGCAGGAGCTTAGCCAGCTCCCCTCTCCCATGGCCCTTCCCTGGGCAGGCAGTCCTGGGCTTAGCCTGGCCGAGTGCGTGAGCTGAACTGGGTAAACTTGCACCTTCAGCCAGTAGGGAACCTTCTCCTTCTGCCCACTCCCTGCCCCCCCGGTCATGCCCAAGCAGGAGGCAACCCTGAGTTAGGAGGGAGGGACACGCACATCGGCCCAGCAGCCTCCTCCTCCTGTTGGTACAGTACCGGGCAAGGTGAAGCCCCGGCAGAGGACAGGGGGTGGCCTGACCCTCCCTTTGGCCTCCCAACAACCCACACCCAATAATGGATTCTGGCAGCTGGAGAAACAAAAGGCATCTCCACTGTCTTCCTGGGGAGGGGAGAGATTGTAGAAAGATGTGATTTGACAGGTGAGTCAGAAGAGCCTTTACAAAGCAGCAGGTGCCCCAAGCCAGTGCTCCCCTGTGCTCCCTGCCCTGGAGTCTGGCTGGAGTGTGAGGGTACGAGGCCAGGTGACCTCTCTGGCCCAGAAGCTCAAGAGACCTTGGCTTCCCAGGAGCAGGGCAGAACAACTCAAGGCCTCCCTGCCCCAGGCCACCCTCCTCTTGTGCACTGCGCTCCGGCGAGTGCCGCAGGGTGGACAAATGGACGGCCAAGGAACTTCAAGGCACCAGGATTGTGGGGAGCAGCAAGGCCGCTCCCCAGAGACAAACAGTGATTGCAAACATCCTTAGCTTAAACTATGATTGGTGGAAGTGAGGAAAGAGTACGCACACACACAAACACAAGAGACAAGGAACGGGAGGAGAAGAGACAGGCGAAGAGGACAGAAGAAGAAAGGAGGCAGAGGATGACAAGACAGACTGATGGGGATGCACGGGGCTTGGCCGCACTCCTGGCCCCCACAAAATCAGGCACCAGAGTCAGTAAAACTTCCATTGTCCCGGGGTAGGAAAACCCGTGTCGGAGGGCGGGGGGCTGGATGAGGCCTCCTCAGCCCTGGGTCCCAGCCGCCTTCTGGATCAGAGGGATCTGCAGGGAGAGGAGAGAATGAGGGCGCTGCAGAGAGGCCACCCTTCCACCCCACCCCACCCTCCCATGGTCAGGGGCCCAGCCTCACCTTGGACAGGTCTACCCCAGTGAGGGCGTGAACGGAGGCCGGCAGCTCCGCGAGCAGGCGAGTCACCTCGTTTGTGACTTTGCTGTTGTCGCCACTGAGCACCACAACTTCGTCAACTTTGGTCAGCGGGGCAGCCACTTTGGCAGCGATCTAGGCCAGGAGGGTCGGGGTTAGAATGGGGGGGACCCCTTCGTTTCTGGGCTCCATCCCGGGCAGGGACTGCGCGGAAGCGCCCCCAGTTCCCCTGCTCCCCGCCGGACTGGGGACGGGGCACCGGCAATCGTCTTCGCAGAGACGGGAGGTCCAAGATGGCGGGAGGATGGTGTGTCAAACAGGGGGCAGTGAGCAGCACTCTGGGACCTGGTCCAGGCGGGACCTGGGGGTGCTGTCCCTGGACGTTGGCTGCTCCCCATCAGGACACACTGAGCTTTCTCCACAGGCGGCCAGCAGCCCTAGGCCATTTTCGGGGTCCTCCAGGCCGCCCCCACCCCCAGCCTGCGTGTCCTAAGAGCTGCTGGAGGGGCGCTCTTACCGAGGGGAGGGCATCGAGCACGAGGGACAGCTTAGCGGCCTGTCCATACTGCTGGTAGGCCTCGGCCTTGAGCTTCATCCGCTCCGCCTCAGCCTTGCCCAGGGCTTCGATCACCATGGCTTCTGCCTCCCCTATCTTCCGAATCTTCTCCGCTTCTGCCTGGGCCAGGAGGACCTTCTTCACCCTGGGGGGAGGGGCAGGCCAGGAGGCGGTCAGAGCCCAGCCTGGCTCTGCTGCTGCACCCCACGACCCAGGACACAAGCCCCTCAGGAGCAGGGACTGTTCTTTTTCCATGTGTCTCTTCAGTGCTTAGCACACAGTAAGTGCTGGAGAACCGCACCTCCAGATTCCCCACTCCCCACTCACTCCAGGCCCGTCGCCCCCTCCCTTTACTGCACAGTTGGGCTCAGATCGGGGGACAGCGGCTCCCAGCTGGTCTTGGGAGCCAGATCTCACGGGGTCCCCCCTCCCCTCTGCCCCTCGTGCTTAGCACGGGACACTGGCCCTCACTTCCCTCCCAGCCTTACTTCTCTCCCTCGGCGATCTGCTGGATGCGGTGGGCCTCAGCCTCCGAGGGCTGGTGGATGGTGGACACCAGCTCCTTGGCGGTCCGGAGTATCTCCTGCTCCTCCACATCAATCTGTTTCTTTCTCTGCACCACCTCGATCTCCAGCTCCTCCTGCCGGATTTTCTGCTGCTCCTTGGCAGCCTGCAGCTCGTAGGCCAGCTGGGCCTCGGCCGTCTGCCAGAGGAGAAGGCACTGGAGCCTTGTCTTCTCCGGTCCAGGCTGCGCACGCCCCTCCCCGCCCCTGCCCTTCTCTCTCCCTCACCTTGATGTTGACTTCCTCGGTGAAGGCTGACTTCTTCAGCTCGAAGGAGCGTTTGGAATCGGCGATGTACGTGTCCGCCAGGAACTTCATGTCTAGCATCTCCTTCTTGCACTCGGCTTCCTGGGGGCAGAGGAGTCTGGCTGGGTGCCTGGGCTTGGGGGTGGCAGGAAGCCCTCGGCCCCAGGAGGGGCCACGCCTCCTCCCGGGCCAGGACCCCCCTTACCCTGATGCCCGCGTCTCGCTCCGCCTCGGCCACTCCAATGTCAGCGTCTCTCTGGACCTGGGCAGTCTGGGACTTACCCAGGGAGCTCAGGTAATTCACTTTATCATACACATCCTGTGGGAGTTTAAGGAAGAAAAGTCAGCCCCAAGAGGACAGAGAGAAGGCCATGGGGCCCCGTCGGTCTGCCCGGGAGCTCTGGGCTGAGAGCCCCACCCTCACTGGCTAGGACCATACCTTGATGGTGAAGCTAAGGATCTCAATGCCCATGCGACCCACATCGGGAGCGGCCACCTCCCTCACCAGCTTGGCAAACTGGTCCCGGTCCTGGTAGATCTGCTCCACCGTCAGGGTCCCTGTCGGGGGCAAAGGCAGGCAGGGCCTGGATCAGACCCTTACTCCCCGAGCCTGGAGAACACACGGACTAGGGCAGAGGAATCTGGCTGCTCTGCACCTCACTGCCTGACCTGTCCTGAGCGTTCTTAATTCAGTCTCTTTAGATCCACCTTCCCCTGAACCAGCCATCCAGGGGTCAAGTCGACTCTCCCTAGGTCTGCTCCACGTAGGGGGGCCCAGGCCCCTCTCCCTGCTACTGTGTCCTATTGGCCCCTTTTACAGATAAAGAAAACGAGAATCGGCTGGATCCTTCAGACAAGCGCTACGCAGCTGCATATACCCCGGCCTCCAGTGCTCCTCCCACGCTGTCTCCTCCCTCCATCCTGACTGTTCTGTCAAACTACTCCCCGTACAAATCAATTTTCTGATTGTTCAAGAGGGATAGGAGTATGAACATGCTGGTCGGGGAGGAGATGGAGTGAGGGGGGCCCCCTTAAAACCTTGGGCACATCCTCATTTCCCTGCAGCTGTTGTGGTCCAGTGGAATGATCCCTGAATTCAGAGTCACAAGGACCTGGGTTTGAATCTCAGCTCTGCTCCTTGCTACCTGTGTGATCTTGGGCAAATCACTTAATCCTTCTAAGAGGTCTCATTCTTCCCATCTGTCAACTGAGGGAATTTAACTAGCCGTCCAGCTGTAAGTGTGGGATCCTGTGATGTTTCCAAAATGTTGGAGGTAGGGTTAGAGTTGGGGATTGCTTTTTTCTTCTCCATTCTCTTAGATCTTTCAGTTTAAAATACTGGTGTTTCTTACAGTCTGGGTGCATTTCCTAGACCGATATACGTATACAGTAACATCTATCTCAACTGAAGGACTTCCCACTCCAGCCCCAGATTTTTCACGGGGTTCCCAGCCAGGGGCCCAAGCCTCAGCCTCCACAACTGGACTTCACGGCCAAACTGGCCCTGGGGCTCTGTCCTTCCCTGCACCAGGGGGACAGACGTGTCTCCATGGAGGGGGGGATGGGGAAAAGGGAGCTGCAGCAGGTGTGGGAGTCACAGATCAGGGCTTGACACACGCAAGGACTTCCTGACACTTTGCCATTTTCAGTCATATCAGACTCTTCTTGACCTTATGGGCCACAGCACACCCATGCCATCCGTGGCAAAGATAGTGGAGTGGGTTTCCTTTTCCTTCTCCAGCTCATTCTCTTTTCTTCCTTTCTTTCTTCTTCTTCTTCTTTTTTTTTTCCGGCAATTGGGGTTAAATGACTTGCCCAGGGTCACACAGCTAGTAAGTGTCAAATGTCTGGTCTGAGGCCGGATTTGAATGCAGGTCCTCCTGACTTCAGGGCCGGTGCTCTATCCACTGCACCACCTAGCTGTCCCTTTCAGCTCATTTGACAGATGAGGAAACTGAGGCAAATGGGGTGAAGTGACTTGGCCAGGGTCACACAGCTAGTATCTGAGACCAGATTTGAACTCAGGTCCTCCCAACTCTAGGTCTGGCGCTTTATCCACTGGGCTCCCAGCTGCTTCCTAACGCTCAGAACTGTCTCAAAATGAAAATGGGCTCTCTCAGAAGCTAGTGGGGCCCGCCTACCTGCAGGTCTTCAAAGAGGAGGCCAGATTACCACCAGTCAAGGATTTGGGCGGGGAATTCCTGTTCAGGTACAGGTTAGACCAGATGACCTCTGAGGTCTAGTCCAACTGGGCAATGTTGGGATTTGGGGCTAAGGAGGGAAGGGGTGGGGCAAAGGGCCTGGGCAGGAACTACACCCCACCTAGGATGGACCGCAGGTGGCCCTCGAGGGTCTGCAGGACCACATTCTTGATGTCATGGACATTTTTCCCCAGGAACTGTTCGCAGGCCACAGCTAACAGCTCATTCTCAGTCATGATTTTAACCTGCAGAGAAGGAAGAAGCCCAGGAGACAATTAGCAGGAGCAAAGTGTTGTTTAAAAAAATAAAAAGGCGGGGCAGCTGTCTGCTTCCCTCGCCCTGGGCCCTGGGGCCCAGGGGGATGGCTCTGCCACCCCTCGCCCCCTGCCCCCTGCCCCCTGCCCCCTGCCTGGTCTCAGGTGTGGCTCCTTGACCATCAGAGACTGCTTCTGTTCCCTCCCTACCACCTGAGACCACACTCCACAAATGGGGAAGTTTGGCCCGGGTTTCGATGGCCAAGAGTGCAGAGGACCTTCTGTGTATGCCCGTGTCTGCAGTGTGCAGGTCTCAGCTGAAGTCCCAGCGCTCCACTGCCCATGCCGCAGTCCTGGCGGTCTGATTCCAGCTGACCTGCATCCCTGCACTCCCAGGAACTGCCCGGGGGCCCTGCTCCATCCCCCCCACCAAGCCCCTATATCTGCACCTTGGCTCTTGCCTCCCCAACGAGCAGGACTTTCTGGATACTAGGAAAGATACTGACACCCAAGGAGGCAGAGACAGAGAAAGGCAGAGAAAGACTGTCTCAGTAGATCAGGGAACACAGCCAGAGAAAGTGTGTGAGTGAGCGTGTGTGTGTATGTGTGTGTGTGTGCATGCGCGTGTGCGCAAGTGTAAGACACATTCTCTCTTCTCACTGATTATTCTCTTAGGGTCTTAATCCAGTCCCCTCCATTTCCCAGTGAACTTAGGCCCTTTCTCTGAGCCCAGGAGGGATGAGGACTCGTGGGCAGCCTGATCCAGCAGCCACCAATACCTACAAACACCTGGAGGTTAGAATAGCAGAGGCCTCTGGGGAGGGGATGGCTGAAACAGCCAGCCTGAGGAAAGAAGGTGGGTGTGATTAGCTCTGACTCAGGATGGAGATGGCAAAGCAGGAGAGGTTAAAGCCAGGCCCTGGAGAGTGACTGGGGCAAGAAGGCCCCTCACCTGGGTTCCTGAGTCCCCACTGGGGAGGGGGTAGTTGTGGAGAGAACGTCTCCAATTGCCCAGCAACGGAGCAGGCCGGCTCCTGTCCTCTCTCCCCCTCCCCCCAGCCCCAGAGGCTATACCCAGAGTTACTATACCTGGGCGACACCCGTCACAGTTAAAGCTACCCCCTCGGCCGTCTCTACGTCCTCGCAACGGGGCTGCAACGTCATTATCTCTAGTGAAATCCTGTCAAGAAACGTAAGACATGTGCATGTGTCTGAGAGCGAGAGCTCTGAGGGTGGCTGGGGGAAGCTCCAGCAGCCTTGGTCACTCCGGCTGGGCGCAAGGGTCATGGAGTGGGCAGGCAGGCACCCCGGGCTGGGCTGAACGTCTGAGATCTCGGGGCCAAAGCAATCAGGGGATGAAGGTGGGATGCGGAACAGGTGTCAGGAAAGAGAATGCAAACAGGCCGGATTCTTGGCCTGTCCCACAAGTATGGGCACCGCTCTCCATTCTTACTCAGATTAGCCCAAATGGAAGACCGTGGGAAAGAAGAGCTGTGCTAGGGATGGTGTAAAGGGCAGGAAAAGCGTAACGTTTGCTGGATTGGAGAGCTCTGAGGCGCTTTGTCCATTCCAGGGCACGAACCTCAGGGTTCAGCTAACTGAGCAGAGACAGATTAAGTGCTCAGGCCACGGCAGGCTGGTGGTGGCCTGGGGGGCCTAGGCCTAGAGAGCAAGGGCAGACAGGGCCCAGGCACTTTGGAGCTTCACAGAGCACGGTTGGCACCATGGAGGCAAAGTCTCTGAAGAGGAGGGGGGTGGGCCAGAGGGGCTTCTGGGCTTCAGCTGGGCTGCTTGGGAGCTTAGATGTTGGGGTTCCTGCCTCAAGTCACACAGGAAAGAGGCATAACCAAGATACTTGGGGACTGCATCCCATGGAAACAGCCCCATTGAAAAGATTCTTACAGAAGTAGTCACAAGAGATCATTAACTTCTGAGGGATAGTAAATGCTTGGTAACCGAGCTAGAGCCTCTCAGAGAGCCTGGGGACGAAATGCCTCCTGCCCTAGCTCTGGGATGTGAGAGATGATGCACAGACGGTAGCTGATGTTCCTGGCACCGCGGGGTGGCCGGGTACGGAACGTGAAGAGACGTGTGAACGACAACATACCCGGAGAGCTTCGTGGAAGGGAAACTGCTAAGACCCCAGAGAATTAGGGGTCAGTCTGACCAATCTCTCCTCCTGTGCAACTCAACGTCCCCAAATCATCCCGATCGCCGGCGGCTTCCCCTTCCTGCGGTAATCCTGATTCTGTTCCTCTGACCAAGGTGAGAGAGGAGTCATTGAGACTAACTGATCTTAACTAGGCAGCTCAGTTCCCATCACCAGGCCTTTGCACAGGCGGAGCCTCATGCTTACAGGGCCCTCCCTCTTCAAACACCGACCTTCCTTCAGAGCTGGCTTAGGTGCCCCCTTCCAGCTAAACCCTTTCCCGAGTCCCTCCACCCCACAATAATCTACTCTTGCATTTACTCCGGACATAATTCTTTGCATAAAAGTTGTTTTCCTCCAGTAGAATGTAAGTTCTTTGAGGGAACATTTTGCTTTTGCCTTTGGATAGCTAGCACCTAGCACAGTGCCTGATGCACATGTGTTCAAGGAATTCTTGTCATGTTGCATAACTATGCTCTGTGCCCCATCCAATACTGCATTTATACAGGGTGGATGACTTAGCCAAGCTTCCAGCCCAGAACTCTATTCCTAGACTGTTTTTTTTTTTTTTTTTGAGAGGGGGAGGGATGGTATAACTAGGGACCCCAACCAACACAAGATGTCACTCACTCTTGCAGAATCTGGATGCAAAGACACCTCCCCTCTCCCCTCAAGAGCCTGGCATCTTGGCTCTGGCCCCTGCTCAAATTCCTCTGGCCCTGAGCGTGGGTTTCATTTAGGACACAGAAATGAAGGAAGGGAGGGCGCTTCTGACCTCCAGCTGTCTCTAAGGTTGGAACACACCCACAAAATAAGCGGGGTCTTCTCTACCAGGTTCACTGAGGGTCTCTGGGCTCAAAGGGGCTTCCCAGGCCCCAACCCGGGGACAGCGGGGGTGGGGGTGGGGCCGAGAGATGGCTTTGGCAGTCTGGGACACCACAGAGGTCAGTGAGCGCTGTCATGTCACTGGTGGCTACGGCTTTACACCGAAGAAGGGTCAAGGGCTGCTGGGGAGGAGCCGAGCCTGCGCTCTTGCCTGGAAGGAGGGGACTGGCCGATGGGCTCTTTTGGGACATCTGCCCTCCCTCTCCTTCATTAGTCCTCAATCAGACACTGAGGACTTTACTGCAATGGGGGGAGTTTGCGCTGAGGTGTCCGGCCTTGTGACCAAAAGGGACGGAGCATTTGCTCTGTATGTGGCAGGCACAATGCTAGGCACTGAGGAGGCCAAGAAAGGCAAAACCGGTCCCTGTCCTCAAGGGGCTCGTTGTTAGCTCCGTCTAACAGGGGAGAGAGGATGTAATAACCAGGAACATACAAGACAGCCCCAGATTTCATGGAAGGCAATCCAAGAGGTCTCCTGCAGAAGGGAGCCAGGGAAACTGAGAGGCGACGGACATTCAGGCATCTAGATCAGCCCAAGCAAAGGCTTGGAGGCTAGAGATGGAGTGCTGGGTTCAAGAACCATAAGGAGGCCAGCGTAGCGAGATCATGGAGTATGTGGAGCAGAGTCTGAGGTAAAAAGACTGGAAAGGGACTGAGTTATTAAGGGCTTTAAAAGGCAAACAGAGGAATTCATATAAAAACTGACCCTACAGGTCCCAGGGAGTCAGTGGAACATAACAGGAGGCTCTGTGGAGGACAGGTCAGAGAGAGGAGGGACGTCAAGCAGGGACACAGAACAGAAGGCTGGGGCAGAGGTATGGGGGGCCTGAGTGAGGGCTGTGCCCTCATGAGGGCAGAGAGGCCGTGAAGCTGACAAGGGACTGGCCAGATGGAGGGAATGGGAGTGAGGAGGGCAAGATGACGAGGGGACGCGTCTGCCAGGAAAAGGGGAGTTCAGATGAGATGGGGGGATGATGAGCTCTGTTCTGGGCATGCAGAGTCTGAAGTGCCTATGGTGGGGCAGTGACCACAGCACCAGCCCTGGAATCAGGGGGACCTGAGTTCAAATCTGGCCTCAGACACTTACTGGCTGTGTGACTCTGGGCAAGTCACTTAACCCTGATCGCCTCCAAAAAAAAAAAAAAAAAAAGGAAAAAAGAAACAAAGAAAGAAATGTCTGTGGGACATTTAGCCCAAGGTGTCCAAAAACCAGTTGGTGAAGGGGAACTGGGATTCAGGAGAGACACTAGGGCTCGACACAGAGACGTGGGAATCATCTGAAAAGACGTGGCTGTTGAACGCATGGGTTTGGCTGAAGAAGTCACCAAGGGAGACAGTACTGGGCAAAAGCAGAAGAGGAGCTAAGAGAACCTGGGGGGACATTCGTGGGGTGGGGGGATGAGGATGCAGTGAAGGAATAGTCAGAGAGGGAGGAGGAGAGCCGGGGAAGAGCAGGGTCAGGAAAAGCTGGACAGGAGAAGAGGGTGATCACGATGCTGGGTACTGCAGACAGCTCAACACGGAAGAGGACTGAGCAAAGGCCATCAGGCCTGGAATTAGCACGACTGCACGGGCCTACTCTCTAACAGATTATCTGCCCTTTCAAGGACAGGGGAGGGGAGGGAGAGAATTTGGAACTCAAAAATTATGAAAAACAAATGTTCAAAATTGTTTTTACATGTAACTGAGAAAAAAATTAAAAGCATTAAACAAATCTAATAAAACAACCACCACATTAATTTATCATTAATATACAATAATGTATTAATAACATACTAATGTATCAATATTGGTAATATAACGATACTTGAAATAAAAACATTAAATAAACCAAACAAAATAATTACGTTAACATATAATATGTTAATAATAAACTACAGACTCTGTTAATAGCAATAATATACTAATAATACAATTGATAATGAGATCAAATCAAAACATAAGCAGGATTTCTAATCAGGAGGTCACCAGTAACTTTGCAGATGCTGGTTTCATTTGAATGACGAGGCCAGAGCCCCGGCTGCTGGGAGCCAGTGACAGAAGAGGAAGTGAATCCAGCTTTCTCAGTGATTTAGCTGAGAAGGGAGAAGTACAGGACAAGGGCTCGCAGGGCCAAAGGAGGGGGAGCCCAGGGCATGTCTGCAGGCAGCAGGGAAGGAGACAGGGGAGACTAAAGATGAGAGGGAGAAAGGCGGAGAGGCAAGAAGAGCCAGGGTGATGGGAAGGCGTCCCCCACAAGAGACGCCACGTGACGCTCCTTCCCATTGACGGACCCCCTCAGATCTCCGTGGAGTCAGAGGCAACAGGAGAAACAGAGATCAGATGCCAAGGCAGGGTAGAGGGGAGATGTTTCAGAGAAAAGAAAGACGTCTCCCTGCCAGTCGGAAGGGTAGGGGAGGCAGGGCTGGGCCCAGGGGCAGGGTGACGGAGGACATGCCTTCAAGGTCTCTCGCAGACTGTCTTGTTATTGTTTTAAATTATTACTAACAATAATGGAATGGAGGCTCTGTCCTGTTTTGGCAACAATACAGAAAGCAGGACTTCTAGCTACTCACCAGAAGATCCTAATCTCAATTTCCACAACAGATAACTAATAGACTCCGGCCAGTAAGAGCAATTCGTTAGGATGAGGCCAGGCCAGATCCACCTAGGTTTTAAGAGCAAAATAATCCTAATAATAAACCTTAGGTTTCTAGAATACCTCTTTTGTAAAGCATGCCTACACCTCCTTTCATCTGCACTCCCAGGATTCCTGTGAGGCAAAGGGAGTTTATTCTCCCCATTTCACACTGAGAAGACTGAGGCCCATTCAGCAGAAGTCAATCATCCAAAGTCACCCACTGAGTTTGTGAATGTGCCGAGGCTCCCTGAGTCCCGGGCCAGAGCTTTGCTCCGGAAGAGCTGTCTTAAAGGGTGCTTTGAAAGCGAGTGAGTGAAATGATCAGTGTGGTGGTGACCTGGGACTCGGTTTCCCTGAGAGAAGGGGTGGGTGGTGGGTGGGAAGGCACTGCTCCTACTCTGGCTCCTGGCCCTGAAGCTGCTGGCAGGGCTGGGCTCATCCTGCAGGACTTGGAATGGGGCTCATCTGGACCCTTGCTCTGTCCCTGGGGGGCTCCCCCAGGTGTGCCCCGGATTCCAGGCAGGCACCTCTCATCTGCACAGGCTTTAATCTCTCCTCTTCACACAGGCGGGCAGACTATACCATTTGAGGGAGCGTGGCAGGTGGAAAGGGGAGCCGGGGAGCCGCGTAGGCAGCAGAGGCCAAGGTGGGTTGCTGTCAGGAGAGACTCACAGAGAGCTTGGGGCTGACTGCAGCTGCATTCACTGCTCCCCATCCCTAAACAACCCCTTCCCCCAACCGCCCTTATCGAGGTCCATCAGAAGGGCCCATCGTGCTGGTCAGGACACAGTCCTCAGCATCTCCGGCTCTCTTTCTGACTTGGCCCCAAGGTGGGGGAGTGCAGGGTCTGGAGAGCCACTTGGGGGTGGGGGTGGGGAGAGGCGACACAGATGTCTCAGCTGAAGCCAGCTACACGACCAAAGCGGGGGTGGGGGGGTGGCATGGGTTGGGGGCTGGAAACGCCACACCGAAAGGGTCCCACTTGCAAGATCTGGTCCTCTAGCTGCTGTCTGCCAGGCCCCACTGGGGCAAAAGGAAAGATTAGACACAGATGGAGGAAGCAGGTGGGTTATTACCTGTGCAACCCCTGTTACGAATAGCGGGACCCCCTCCGACGTCTCAATATTCTCACATCGACACAGGATGGTCATAACCTCCAGAGTCAGTCTGAGCGGCAGCCAGGGATGGGGGGTTGAGGAGAGGAAGAGGAGGAGGAAAGGGGAAGGGGACACAGCAAATACATACAGTGGTTACCAGACAGGCACTGATCTTCCATGCCCAGAGTGGGGCCGGTCACCCTACACCTCATTCACCCCTTTCCCCCTACCCCAGTCATCTGCAAGCTCAGGCCTTTAGATGCGGGTGTGGTTCTGCCGGAAGAGCACCCCCTCCCAATGACTTTGAGGATGGAGATGGGGGGGGGGGGGGCCAGGACTTGAGAAATCTGACCTGGCACTCATGGCTCTGTGCGGCACTGGCTAAAGCTTGCTTGCCAGTCTGAGGGAGTTCACTTCACCCCCTGCCAAAGACCAGAAAGCTCCCTTTCCCCAATTGGGGGTGGGGGCCCCCCTGTGGGAAATCTGCTTGGCAGCACACATGGCACGTTTCTTTAAAATTTAAAATCTGAGGGTTTTTTTTTTTAAATAACAAAAAACAACCCAATTTCCAGGCAATTATGCCCAGAGGGATAGCCTACCCAGGGGGTTATTCACAGTAAATACTGCCTGGCCTGTTCTTGGCCAGCTCCAGGGCTGCTCAGGTGTTTATAGCTCAGGGGACAAAAGCCTCATCTGAATGTTGACAAAACAGGGTTAGGAAACCGGAGTGGCTTCAGCGAATTATATTGGGCACGCCCTGGCCAAGCAAGAACAATCCGGGGATTGCATGGCTTGGTGGGAGGCAGCTGGCGGCCCATGCCCGTAACATGGGTCGCTGGTCGCTGGAAGTGATTGCATTTATGTTCCTCTTATGAAAGCCCCTGGGGTGAGGGGGAGGGGAGAAGCAGAAGGAGTCATCTGAAAAGCAAAGAGGGAACAAATGAGGGGGTGCTTAGCAGGGAGCAGCCCCACAGGGAGGCCTGGCTGCCAGAGGGAGGGTGGGATGGGGGTCAGCAGCCAGAGCAGGAGAAGGCTCAGCTTATAACAGAGAAGGAAACCGCTATCCCAGGACCGGCCCCTCAGAGAGGCTGGTGGCTTTCCTCCTGGCACGGGGGGCTCCCTGGCCACGTTTTCCCTCTGCCATCCTCCAGGACTCTAGGTGACGACGATCCTGGCGTGGCCCACCTTTCCCTCTTCCTCAGGTGTTCCTCCCTCCCTGCCTGCGTGTGCGTGCATTGTGCCGCAGAAGGGCCACCCGGCGGCTCGGCTTAGGGAGTCTTCCCTGGTTCAAACCCCGCCACCAGGTTCCTCTCTCTGGAAGCTGACGCAGTGAAGGACAGCTCACAGAGCTAGCTCTGTGCTGGAAGCCAGGAAGGAGAGCGTGAGGGAGAGGAGGAGGAGGGAGGAAAGGAGAGAGGAAGGCTGCAGTTCAGACGCCAGAGGTGGAGGGAGAGCCATGGATCAGAGAGAGAGACACCTTCCAACATGCTGGGCGGGGGTGGGGGGGATGAGAAGAAAGTGAGATGGGGACAAGGGCTGGCGGGGGACAGAGCCAGCAGCCGGGGGAGGTGGGAGGTCTGGCGCCTGGACCAGGACGAGTCCCACCTAATGCCAGTTTGCACAAGGAGGTTGAAATCCCTCGGCCAGAATTTAAGCTCAAACACCCCTAAGGTCAGCTCGGGGAAGAGGAAAGTGGGCTGTGGTGGGTCCATGCCCGAGAGATGAACCTGTCAGAGTCACAATGGGAGAGGAATCGGGCCAAGGGACAGGAAGGGGCTGAAACCTCCAAATACGAGCTTCTGGCATCAGCCTGAACACCAGAGCTTAGCTCCCCCAGGCCTGGGACCACCTGCCTGGAGCCTTCAGCTCTCTGGTTTCTGCTCTCATAAAATGCAGGGGTCGAAGTCTAAGGGGCCCGGCAGGTCTGACATACAAAGGTCCTCTGCAGGTCACTCCCTGGGGGGAAGACCTCTGGGGGGGGGCCTTCTCTGCTGTTCTGTAGGGCCAAGTCTGTGCAGCAGACCCCAAGACCCAAGAAGAAAGGCTTGTTGTAGAGTGGAGAGGTAAGGAGAGAGATGAGGAAGAAGGGATGGTAACAGAAAACCAGAGCCTTCGAGAGGCAGTGACCTCCCCTCAGCCCCGACTCCTGCAGCACCAGCTTCTAATTCTGGCCGTGTGCTTTTACGGACGCCCTGACAGCTCTGAAAGGGCATCCATCTTCCCTTGGGGGTGACGCTCAGGACAGGGAGGGGATTCAAATTTCAACTCCTCTTCCTTCAGTGTTTCCCACTAGCACCCCGATTTTCAGGTTAAGATACTTCCCTGAAGGATTCTGGGAAGTAACCGTTCCTGAGAGCAGAGGAAGTGTTGGGGTGGTGGGGGTGGCAGCCGCTACTCTCCTTCAGGGGTACTGTTTGGTCTCTTCCTGATATCAGGCCCATCTCCTGCCCTCCACCCGGAGTTGCCCGGGTCTCTGGGTCTGGGAGCTCTTCTGATCGGGCCTGAGCACTAACCTTCCCCATCCTCACTCTATCTAACCTCCACACTCCCCACAACCTTCTTCCTCCTCGCCCCCCACCCCCAGGCCTTCCTTCCCCCCAGGACACTTCAATTGCAGCCTGGAAAAAATGTAAATATTTAATCTGTTTATCCCTGACGCCTGGATTTCTACTCTTCTTGTCCATTCTTGTCCATATGTAGGTCCTGCGCCCAACCACGCACCCAGCCTGGACAGGAGCACAGTTAAAGTAATCTGATGGGATGTTCCCATTTCTCTGGAATGCCATCGATGCCAGGCCCAAAAGGTAGAAGGGCTTCCACTGCCAACCTGGCAATGCTATCTCTACCCACAGGGCAGCTTCAGCCAGAGGGACCAGCTCTCATCACTGAGGAGAAATTCTCAACTGCCCTCCCTCATGGCACCTCCTCACCTCTCCCCTGGAGGCCCTTACCTCTGTGTATCTGAGATGAACCACCAGGCCCAGGCCCAGCCTCCAAACACATACTTCTTCGCATCTGGACTGAAACAGCCCCCTGAAAAGCAAGAAAGCCAGGCCCCATCAGTGGATCCGGGAGCTGCAAGGGACCACAGAAGCTGTCTCTGGTTCAATCTCCAGGTACTTTCTCCTGGACGGGTGGTCACCCAGCCTTGGCTCAGACTACCAAGAGGCCCATGCCAGCCTGAAGGGCCCATTCTGCTCCCCAAGAGTCTGCTTTGTTGGGAGGATTTTCCTTAAACCCAAACCTGCAACTCTTATTTTTTTCTCCCCGAGGCAACTGGGGTTAAGTGACTCGCCCAGGGTCACCTGGCTAATAAGTGTTTAAGTGTCTGAGGCTGGATTTGAACTCAGGTCCTCCTGACTCCAGGGCTAGTGTTCTATCTACTACTCCACCTCTTATTTAGTTTTCTCTAGGGTCCATATGCAGTCCCTCCTCCTATTTTTCGATCCCTTCATTTGGGGAGAAATGCTGGCTCTGGACTTCCAAGACATCCTCTGGACCTTATCCTCACCATTAACAAATGTTTAGCAAGCACTGAATGTGTGTGGGGCACGTGGAAACAATCATGTGCAAGACACAACCGCAGCTTGAAGGAGCCTACGGTCTATTTGGGGAGAAAGACTGCAAGGGTGACAGCTACATACAGGGTGTGGGGGAGGAGACGGAGAGAGAAGAAGAGGAGGAGAGAGAGAAAGGGAGAGGGAGAGAAAGGGAGGGAAGAAGAGGGAGGGAGAGGAATGGAGAAGGAGAGAAAGGGAGGGGGAGAGAGGAGGAGAGAGGGAGACAGAAAGGGAGGGAGAAAGAGACAGAGAGAAGAGGAGGAAAGAGAGGAATAGAGAGGGAGAGAGGAGGAGAGAGAGGAATGGAAAGGGAGGGAGAAAAAGAGAGGGAGGAAGAGGGAAGGACAGAGAAAGGGAGGGAGAGAGAAGAGGACGAGAGGGAGAGAAAGGGAGGGAGAAAGAGGGAGAGAGAAAGGGATGGGGGAGGAGGGAAGTGAGAGTGAGCGCACAAAAACGAAAGTGAAAGAACAGCTGGACAGAATGGCAGGAGGTGGGTGGTCAGAGGTGACATAAGCTCAGCCTGGAAGGGAGGACAGCTCACATTTCTACCATGCTTGTGAGGTTTTTTAAGTACTTTTTTTTTTTTAAACAAAAACATGTGCACCACAGGTATTTTATTCCCATTTTACAGATGAAGATAGTGAATCCGAGAGGGTAGAAGTGACTCACCCACTGACCCACAGATGGAAGGCAGGAAGGAGGGGAGGAAAAGGAGGGGAGGACCTGTGCAAACCGAGAAGGAGCCACAGAGATGGCATCGGATATGTGGAGGCAGAAGAGACCTGGGTTCCAACGCCAGCTGGAACACTCACTAGCTGTGTGGCCCTGGCCAAGTCACTGAGCCTCCGTTTCCTCACCTGCACGATGGGGCTGCTTGTAATGACTGAATGTGTCAGCTGTGGTACCTGTTCTGTTGACGATCGCTAATGAAGGGAGTGAAGAGTCTGCCTGGCAGGAGAGGACCCATTCTGCTGGGTGCCACATCTTTCTCCAGCAATGTTCAATGGCTTTGGAACAAAAGCATGGGGAGTAGATGTCATTTTGTTGTTCAGTTGTTTCGGTTGTGACTGACTCCTCACAACCCCATTTGGGGTTTTCTTGGCAAAGATACTGGGGTGGTATGCCATTTCCTTCTTGTGTTCATTTTACAGATGAGGAAACTGAGGCAAACAGGGGTAAGTGACTTGCCTAGGGTCACACAACCGTCAGTGTCTGAGCTCAAATTTGAACTCAAGTCTTCCTGACTTCAGGAAGTGCATAGTGCTCTGTGCACTATGGTGCCACCTAGTGGCCCTAATGCTGGGGATTGACTGTACAAGGTCGAGGGGCCATAGGAATCTGGGGTTCTAGTGAGGGCACCACTCATCTGGCTAATTAGAGCATCCAGGCTGGGGAACAGTAATAGAGTAACTCCCATTCAGAGTCTTTTAGGATTGAAAAAGACCTTTCCTCATGACTCTGTAAAGACAGAGCTCACCCAAATGCTCACAGAACTAGGAATTGTTCAACCGTTCTGGAAAACATTTTGTAACGAGACAACAACAGTGACTGAGGCGGTCCTAGCAGGTGGGCCGGGGTCCCACTGCTGGGCAGGCTGGGGGGAATCAAAGTGACAGTAAGACAGAGCAGGCACTACCCAGGGAGCGGCTGAGGAACAATCAGGAAACTGACATAGAGGGTAACAGAGTATCATGACAGGAAAAGAGAGACTCATGGGGGACCAGAACCTGGAGAAAAGCCTAAGTAATGCCACAGACGCCCCAAGGGAGGGGAAATTGGCTAACTCTCGGGGCCTTCTTGTCCAGAACTGATGACGAAACCGTTTCCTTCCTCCTGAGGGCTGGTTTGGCCCACCCGGCTGATTCTACAAGAGAGGGTTTCATGGGCCCTGGGAGCAGCTGGAGGCTTGAAAACAAAAGGAAAAATAAAACTCAGAAATACAGAGGGCATTACTGATCGTGTTTTACAGATGAGGAGGCAGAAGCTTGGGAGACAGGGATCTGAGTTCCAATTTTGGCTTGGGGACCTTGGACAAGTCTTTAACCTCTGGGTACATTGAGGGAGTTAGACCACATAGACCCTCGACTCCCTTTCAGCTCCCTCAGTCTGTGGCTGGTCCACCCAGGGCAGGTGGGGGCCAGGCAAAGAGCTGGCATCTGAGAGCATGAAACCAACTTGGAAATCTGAATCTTCTTTAGGATGAAGTGAAATCGGAGGAAGGTCCACAAATCACTCCTCGTGTTGGGGCCAAAGCAAGCATCGCTCACGGGCCAGGTGCCATGGTACAGTGGAAAAGAGCATTGGGTTTAAAGTCAAAGGACCTGAGTTCAAATCTAACTGCCACTGACCACTTGTTCTATGGTGGGCATATGACTCAACTTCTCTGGGACACATTTCTTTTTATCTATAAAATCAGGGAGTTGGGTTGGTCACCCAACGAGCACTTATTAAGTGACTACTATATGCTTGGCAGAGGAAGCCAGGTGGTTCAGTGGATAGGGCATTGGGACTGGAGTCAGAAAGCATCCATAAACTGATTTTTTAAAAATGAAGACAGTAGACTCATGACCTCTCCAATCCAGCTCTGCCCCGCCCCCCAACTCTGCCCCAGGCATATATCACAAGATAAAGGAGGTGATAAGGCACAAAGCCAAGAACGTGGGCTCTGGGTCCAACAGTTATACTTCCTGTGGGACCTGGGCACAGGGGCATGTGTGAGTTGCAGACTAGCTCCAAATCTATGCTCCCATTAGGCAAGGGCAGGTTGGAATAAGTCCCTCCCTCCCTTCTGCCTCCTGGTTGCTCTAAGCCCCTACTAATAACACTGCCACTTGCTTGATGCCAGGGCTGAGTTTTGGAGAGCAGCCAACTCCACCTTCTGCCTCTGCCTTTCTATAGGCCCAGGAAGTACCCACCTTTCCATCCTCCCACCCCTTGTTTCCTCGGCCTGGAAATCCTCACTCCCTAAGAAAATGGCCTGAGGCCTTGGCTCTCCTGGGGCGGTCACATTTTGCTTTCAAAGGCTTGGGAGAGATGGAAGGGGAAGACAAGGTGTTACAAAGGCAAGCTCACCAAGAGCATGAGAAGGTGGGAAAAGGTGGCCAAGGGAAGCAGGGATGGGAGTGGAGACTGGGGGCTGGAGAAGCGGGCTTCCTCAAGCCCGTCCAGGTGGAGGGCCCGCAGGCCAAAGGCAGGGAGGGCAGGAAGGTCCAAGAGCCCCTGCTTCCTGTTGCTGCTGCCCCAATGCTTTGGCCTGGCCTCTGTCTAATTGGCAGCTCAGACCCAAAAGTCAGCAGACACAAGACCAGAGTGGGGTAGGGGTGGCCAGTGCCTGCATTCTCACCCCACCCACACCCAGGCCCTGTACCCCTGGTGTGAGAGGCTGCCCGGCCGTCCCCCCAGGAGAAGGAGGTGCTGGATCTTAGCCTCAGACATTTAAGAGCCAGGAAAGAATTTTGCTCATCTGGGTGGGGGTGGGGCTCTTTATCCCCCAGTGCCTAGCACATTGTTGTTGGGGAAGAGTAGATCTTATCTCTTAGCCTTCGAAAAATTCAACAGAGATGGGAAAGAGAGCTCTGGGCCAAGGCTCTGGGAACTTTACCTCCACAGGGAAAGAGACCCAGGGAAAATGAGGGCTTTGGTGGAAAGGGGTAGCTTTGGGGTCAGAGGGTTAGGCTTCAAATCCCCTCTCACACAGGGGTGTGACCTTGGGCAAGTCACTTTCTTAGGTTTCACCTCTAAAATGATGGGGTTGGATTGGAGCCTCTGGATTCATTTCAGCTCAAAGGAGGGGTATATCTCTCCCTCTGTACCTGTGGCCTAAGGCTCTGGTCATGCTGCCAATACCGTTAGCACAGGGAGGGGATTTCCTTGGTAACTGAAAAAGCCTTCGATTTTGGGATCGATGCTGGGCCCAAAGCCATAGTCCACACCTTGGTGGCTCCAAGGCCCATGGGTTTAAAAGCACCAGATGTAATATTACATTTCTCAGAAATAGTGCGCGCACACGCTGGGAACACCTACAGACCCAGGCCCAGACTTCCCTCAGCAATGTCTGCCAGACAAGACCCCCTCCCACCAAGCCATAGTGGGATTGTGATGCTCTCCCACCCTCACCTGAAAGGTGAGAGATGACAGAAGCCAGACCCCACACTGCCTTTAGGGAAGGGGCAAGAATCCTTACAACCCCAAAGCTCAGAAGGGCCTTCCAGCTGCCCACCTCCACCCCAAAAACCTCTGCCTCAGCACCTGCTCTGGCTCTACCAACACCAAACATTTAGCAATTACAAATAACTACCACTCGGTGGAAATCCCTCGCTAGGCTTTCTTTCCCCTTGGGCAGGGTGGTGCCTACACGCCCATACGTGCTACTCCAGTGTTTCCACCCGAGCTTTCTTTTGTCTCTTCAGAAAAGTAACAGATTTATCTGAAGCCCTCAATTCCACAGCCCTGGGGGAGGGCCCTCCCAAGTAGCGGGGTGGGGGAAGGGGATTCCCATAATTAGAAGGGAGGTGTCTGGCTGCAGGGGAAAGCTCCTCCCCCAGCTTCCCAACGCCCTCGGCCACAAGTGGCTAAACCTTAGATGATGGAAACCTGCCAGGACTGTTTAACATCCCCAAAGCGCTGGTTTCCTTGAGCAGAGAAAGCCTTTTGGGGGACATGCGTGTCTTTGATTTTTTGCTACCCCTGGTTCCCAGAGTGGGGGGTCACAGGAAACGTCAGAGGGAAGGCACAGGCGCTGCCCAAAGTGGGGGAGGAGTGATAAACACCAAGCACTGCAGGGAAGGAAGAAGAGGATAGGGAGGCGGTCTCCACCCGCCACACGCCCGGACACTGGGTGGGTAGGTGGCGTGTGGGGCAAAAAGGGAGGCAGGGGCAGGGTAGTCTTAAGGAAGAAGAGCTCGGACCCAGCATCTTAGCCCTTTGCATGTTCTGCCAGGGAAGAAGCAAGCCTGATGTAGGGACACATCAGCGATGCCACACCCGGGGGTAGGGGTGAGACGTCCCTCTTCTCATGGGGACCCCTTCCCCTGGCACTGCCCCTGAACGCAAGCAACCGAGCTGCTCACTCCTCCGCCACCACCCATGCATGGGCCCTCCCACATCCTATCCCTGTCTCAACGCTGGCCCATTCTCCCCTGGCAGTGCCCCTGGGCTGCTTGCTGCCCCTTCCTCTAGCACGACCCTCCCTGGCACCCCCTCCTCGTCCCCGCCCCCCCCCCGCTCCCCCCTCTCCTAGCACGCCCCCCCCCCCCCCCCCCGCCCCCGCCCCCCCAGGTGCTGCCCCTTCCCCTAGCACAACTCTCCCTGACACCCCTCCTACACCGGTGTCCCCGCTCCCGACGCTGACCCCTTCCTCCAGCACGACCCTCCCTTACGAGCCCCCACCCCCTCACCTGACACCACCAGCGCCTCGTTGGGTCCCACCGTGTAGCAGTTGCCCATAGCTGCGGCGGCGAGCACCGGGGTACAACGGCCGCAGCGCCGCACTCGCGCCTCTGCCGGGCGGGGTGGGACGGGGCGGGGGAACCTGGGCAGGAGAGGCCGGCCGAGCACGCTTGCGCACTGGGGCCCCGCCCAGTCCAAACCTAACCGCAGCAGCTGTTACCGCCCCGCCCCCAGCGGAAGTGTGGCTCTGCCACCATGTTGAGTGTGGCGCATTAAAGAGATGCGGAGAGATCCTGGAAATCCCGGCTTTATTGGCCCCGCAAAAACAGAAGCCCTTCCTCCCCCTCCTCCCTGGGGATAAAAGTCACTCGGTATCTCCTTCTCCAAGAAGGGAAGAAATAAAAATCACTCATCACCCCCATCCGAAGAGCCTCTGGGGGACACGGGCCACCTCCAGTCACCTCCATCCCCAGGGCCTCTAGGGCACAATTATCATCTCTCCTTACCTCCAACCCCAGAGGGATTAATAATAATTTTCTGTCTTCTTCCCTCCCCCCCCCCCAACCTCCTCCCAAAGCCCTGAAGTAAACACCTAATTGCCACCCTCCTTTCTGGCATCATCCATGAAAGCTCCGCTCCCTGAAGGCAAAGTAGAGTCTAGGCTCTGAAAAGTCTGATGAGGCCCAGAAGGCCTCCTGGAGACAGAAGGGTTTGGGAGTGGCACAGTTCAACTCTAGTCATCTCTAGACTGTCTGCCAGGTGATTGGGGTGTGTGTGTGTGTGTATGTGAATGTATATGTGTGTATATGCATATGAGTGTACACACATGTGCCTGTATGTGTGCAGGCCTGTGTGGTGAGGGGAGCAGGGGACCGTGAGTTGTTCTTAGAGATAATCAGCTAGCTTGAGGAGGGGCTGTGACCTATGTAGGTGGATGATCCAGATCTGGGTTGGGGAGGGACCCTCAAGGTCCTCTCATCCAACCTGCTCCTTCTACGGCTGAGGGAAGCTTAACAGCTTTTTATGGTTGCTGCTGCAGGCCTAGGAGCCCTTTGTGGATCGAAATGATCCTGGCTCTTAGCCTGCCAACCCACAGCTACACAGATTCGATGTGCCCTGCTCCTCAGCGGGCAATGGAATCTATAGGTTTCGGAACCTAGAGGGTGCTGAGTCTGTGGCGACTTGGGCCAAGGGGCTATGTGGGGACCCCGGCTGCGGGCTGGTGTTCAGGGTTCCCTCCTTAGTCAATCCAGCCAGTTTTTCACTGGCTTCCCACAGCCGACGGGCAGCCCGGTCATCACGGGCTGAGGTGGGAACCTCTTCCACGTGGCAGTTGGCAAAGTATCGACCACTGAGTGGCTCAATGCCTTCTTGTAGGGCACAGTGTAGGGGTGTCTGTGCTCCACCCCTTGGAGTCCTCAGCACCAGCCATGCCAGGGGGGATAACAACAAATGCAGCCAGCCTGGCACATGGCGGAGAAACAACTCCGAGTTCACTGGACCTGTGGGTGGGAGAATGAAAGCAAGGTTGGCAGAAGGCCTAGCAGGGGTGGAGGCTCATAGGCTCAGATGTAGAGCTTAACGGAAACTTAGAAATCATCAAGTCAAGAGCCCTCGTTTTACAGATGAAGAAACAGATGCAGAAAGATTAAGTGACTTGCTCTTTGTCATACAGATGTTAAATGGCAGTGCCTAGTTTTTCAGCATTTTCTCCACTGTGCCATACGATCTCCTGGTCCAGGGGCACTTGGGGTAGGCACTACCTTGGTACAAGGGGGCATGGAAGGGACCCTTTGAGAGATTAGATAAGACTCCAAACCAAGAAAGGGAAAGAGTAGTGTTGGCCCGGCATTCAAGGTTTTCCACATTCTAGCTCCAACCTTATCTCCCACTTTTCCCCTAGGTGAACTCACTATGCTTGCTAGCCTTCTCTGCCCTGATGACTGAACATGACTGGGCACTCCAACCTTACACCATTTCCTCTCCTGAAGTACCATCCTCTCTGCCTACTAGACTCTTAGACTCTTCAAGAATCAGCTCATGCCTTGCTTTTTCCATGAAGCCCTGCCCCCCTGACCATTCCAGCTCCACTGGGGTACTCCTTTCTTTGATCTCTGATGACCCTTATTGTGGAGGACCTGGCCCTTACTGTTTCTTCAGTCTGTGTATGTCATCTCTATTAGCATGTAAGCACTTAGAGGGCAGGAATTATATCCCTTTGGCCTGTGCATCCTCAGTTGTTAACACCCAGTGCCTTGTTTGACTAACTGAGTGTTATATGCATGTGCTTTTGTCACCTGAGGGAGATTACAAACAGCTGCAGGGTTGAATTGGGAGACACAGAGACAGGATGTATAGAGAGAGCACCTGGGGTCTTCTGGATGCCGAGGCCAGCTAATAATAATTCATCTTTGTATCCTCCTGCCTCTTTGGGTGCTCAGCTGATTGGGAGGCAGTATAATGGAAAGCGTGGGGGAGTCAGGAGATGTGAGTTGTACTCCTAGTTCTTCTCCTGGCTAGCTGTATTGTTTTGGGTAAGTCCCTTCCCTTGAGGCCAGTTTGTTCCTCTGAGGTATAGAGGTTGAGCTACAACTAATTAAGTGGTCTCTAAGGTCCCTTTTAGCTTAGACATTCATAGGCTATTGATTTAGAGCTATGAGGAACTTTAGAGGCCAACGACCCCAGAGAGGTTTAATAACTTGTTCAGGGTGGCAGAGCTAATTAGTGTCACAGGTAGAGTTTGAACCCAGGGCTTCTTGAATCCAAGGGCAGTGTGCTCTGCTTTGTGACTTCAAAGTGGGAAGTGGGCTGAGAGTCCACGACCAAATGGAAGAAGTCAGGACTGTCAAGAATCAACAGCAGAATTGTGGCGCCCATGATGGGTTCCTCACCTGGGTGGGCAGCATAGCAGGTGACTCCAGTGCCTTCAAGCTGAGTGGCAAGCTCTCGAGTGAACAGCACGTTGGCCAGCTTGCTGTCTGCATATGCCCGTAGCTCTTGCTGCCAGCCACAGACTGGGCGATCCAGGCGGGAGAAGTCCAGGTGCCCACGGCGGTGGGCTGCTGAGGCCATTACCACCACACGGCTTGGGGCATTGGCCTTCAGCCGGGGAAGCAGCAGATGGGTCAACAGGAAAGGACCCACGTGGTTTACCCGAAGGATCAGATTAAAGGTTTCCTTAGCTTTGCCACAGGAACTGATCCCTAAGGAAGGAGCAATATTGGGTGGGCAGAGGGTGCACATCCCCAGCTCCTCTTTCCAATGCCACTCCCAATAGACTCACATACCAAGTCCCCTTGATCCTCAGTGTCCCTATCTGTAAAATGGGAACTGTGAACTATCTTTATACACCCATAGCTTGCACACAGATGCCATCTCCCTTTTCTGGGCATAGTTACGGCCAGGAACTAGCCCTGAGCCCTGGTACTTTCAGGCCCACCCCTTATCCTGACCTCCTTCCCTTGCTCTCACCTGCATTGTGGATGAGGAGGTCCAGTCGTGGCTCTGAGCTCAGAAAGGCAGTGGCAAAGGAACGCACAGAAGTTAGGCTGGACAGATCCAGCATCATGAAGATGACCTCGTTGTTCCCACTGTCCTGGAGACACCGGTGCAGGGACAGGGGTGAGAACACCTGGACACCTTCCACCTCCTTCCCTGTGGGCCCCGAACCCTGTTTCTTGGCATTAGAGGATCTATGTTCAAATCTACCTCGACCACTTCCTACCTATGGGATTCTGGGCAAGTGATTTAATTTCCTCACCAATAAAATGAAGGGATTGAACCTTGTATGTTAAGTAGTGAGGAGGACATTGAAACTGGGTCCTCAAATCCTGGGCCCACCATTCCCTGGTCCATCTATAAAGGATTCCAGATCTGGAGCCAGAAGGGACCTCAGAGGGGTATTTTACCAATGAAGAAACATTGTGAAGTGCAGTGGATTGCTTAAAGGGTGGAAATAGATTTGAAGCCAGGTCCTCTGGTAAGTAACTTTTATGATCCTGAGCCTCAGTTTCTTCACCTATTAAATGGATTTAAGAAAGCCTGTCCTTGCCCTAAGCTATCTCCCATGGTAGTCTGGAATATGCAAGTGGGAGAATATGTTTATGGAAAAGTCTAACAAAATTAAGACTTCTGAAAAGTCTAAAGTGCCACTGGACGGATTTCAAGGGCGGTCACGATTACCTTTCGGATGTCATAGACAGCAGCCTCCCCCTTTTCCTTGCTTCGGCAAGCCAACACCACCCGGGCCCCACGCTGGGCCAGCTCCAGAGCCATCATCTTCCCGATGCCGGTGTTGCCACCTGAAATGCCCGTCGTCCCCCCCCCCCCCACCGGCGGCATCAGCAAAGCTGGGGGTGAGGGGTGGGGAAGGGAAGGACGAGGCCCCTTCCTGCTCCGATGTCCAAGGCCCAGATCCCATCAGACATCCGTCAGATCCCTCCCTCCTCCGACCCCAAGCCTGAGCTGGAGGGAACGGGGTGCAGGGGCGGAGAAGAGGAGAGCTTTCCAGGCGCTCAGGTGTGTGGGCCCTTCCTAACCTGTGACCACGGCCGTCTTTCCTTTTAGGTTGACGGGGCTCATACAGGGCACGGCTTTGATGAAGTTATAGTAGATGAGGACGTAGGAGCCCAGGAGCATCCCTGCTCCTAGCAGGAGCCCATCCATGGTCCCGTCCGCCTGGGTACCAGCATCCAGGGTCGATTTCAACCTGGTGGATTTCAATTCCTGCTCTCTGGCTCCTCCCCCAACTATGGCAGACCTCAGGGCTCAAACTTGCTCCGTGTCGCTCCAGCTCTGCCCCGACCGACCGGCGGGGCCGCGGATCCCGTAGGGGCGGGGCAGGGGCACCCAGGTCTGCTCAGGCGGTGCAGCCGTGGGGAATGGGGTCTCTGCTAGCTTGGTTTTAGGAAAAGTTTGGGGTGGGGATGGGGTGGTGATGTCGCCCCCACCAAGGCCAGGAAATTGGCAGGCAGGGGCAGCAGTGCCACCTCCAGGCAACAGCCGGGCACTGCGCCCGGCTCACCTGCGCAGGTTGTGACTGAGGAGTCACTGTAGACTGAGAGGGGCCATGGGCTCCCAGCTCCAGAGCTGGGCAGGCACCCCAGAAGCTGGCCTATTTTACAGAGGAGGAAACTGAGGCCTAGGGAGGTGACGTGGTGTGCCCAGCATCACACAGGTGGTAGTGGGCAGAGCTGGGGCTCAAATCCAGGTCCTCTGACAGCCGGCCAGCAGAAAGCCCCTCTCCTGCTCAGACATCCACTGGTCACAAGAGTAGGAGTGAAAGGGTCCTTAGCGATTATGTAGTTGCACCTCTTTTCATGGACCAGGAATCCGAGGTCATGGCCATACAAGTAGTGTAGTTAGTGTCGAACTTGGGACTGAGAGCCCCCTTCCCTGACTCAGAATCCAAGGCTCTCCTGAAATTCTGAGTGTGTGTCTGCGTGTTTGACACAGAATGAGGGAGAGGCCAGCTTCGGGATAGGCACTCTCCAAGTCCTTCATGCCTTCCCTTTCCTCTTCAGTCTTCAGATAGCCCTTGTCAATATCCCTTCCCATCTTTCTCCCCATAGTGTACTTATACTCATCACTGTTTCTCCAGTTTCTCCAGCCAATCTCCAGCATCTGGTCCTTCTTCCCAATTGTGTAAGACTGATTTTTCCAGTGAACCTTCCCTGACTCATCACCATCTTTCTCCTCTTCCTCAAATATCTACCTCACCTGTTTATATTTTCCCTTCTTTACATAGTTTGTTTAGCATATATGTCCTTCCATATATATGTGTGTATATATATATACACACACAAATATCTATATATACACACATATATCACCCATTTACATATTCCCTTTATATATATTTATATTTTATATATTCTTCCTAATTTATAAATCCCTTTTTTATATTCCCTTCCTTATGTATTCATATCTGTATCTATATATCTCCCCCCTTCCTTATACAGAGCACCTTTGTTTATATATCTTTCTTTATATATGTATATATGGAGTGTGTATATATATATGGAATGTGTATCTATATATACATACATATATTTGTGTGTATAGTTATACATTCTATAGACAAACATTTCTCATCCTCAAAGTATAGATAGTACCCTTTAACTTTTTGTAGCTTAAAACTGTACTGAGACCCCAAATATCTCAGCACTGTTAGAATCAGTAGAAATTATCACTGGGCTGTAAGTATAGTGATCGCTCAATACAAAAGTTAGTGCCCACAGGTCCTTAGCTCAGTTCTGCCCCATACTTGGCTGTGTGACTTGCAACATGAAACCTCATTTTTCTGGGATTCAATGTTTACAATTATAAAATGGACAACCGACATTTCTCCTTTGAGGGCTGAGTTAGGTCATAGATGTTAGTTTCTTGGGGGAAAGGGGCTACAGATAACTCCTCAGATTAAGTAGCAGAGCTCAGAAATATCTGGGCCACAGACACTGAGTGATGACCCACTAACCTATAAGGCAGGTGTTAGGATAATCTTGTTTTTGCCACAGACCCAAACAGCCTACCTCTCTGAAGAGAATTCTGGGTTGGTCAAAGTTCAGAAGATTCCGAGGGGGGAATATCACCCTCTCACTTAGGATGGGTGTCTTCAAATTCAATAATAGCGACTTTCAGTTTAGAAAATGCTTTATACACATGTCAGTGGACTTTACGAAATCTAATATCAAAAGCTAATGTTTACATAGCACTTTTCGGTTTGCAATGAACTTTACATACATGATCTCACTTGATCCTCACAACAACCCTGTGAGGTAGGTGTTATCCCCATTCTACAGATGAGGAAATTCAGACAGATTTGAAGCGACCTGCCCAGGATCTCACAGCTCACATCAGAGGTAGGAATCTAAACCAGCTCTTTCTCACTCCAAGTCTAAGGCTCTTCACCCCGCTTCCTCTCTAGCATAACCCTGTGTTACAGGGGAGAAAAGGGCGGTGAGATGCCTGAGGTCAAAACAGAAATCACTGGGACTGGGGCCCAGGTTTCCTCCCAGACCAATGCTCTGCCCCTATTCATTACCCTTCAATAAGCAGCTTCCTTCAAAGATGCTTGAAAGGTTGATATGTGTAAATGGGATTTGACTCATTTTGCAAAGCTGCAGAGGACAACACACCCAAGCAGCCTGTGGAAACTGTGAATTTCACTTTTGGAAAAGGTGAGCTTCCTAGTAATAGCAGCTACCAGGAAGTGGGAGGGAGGATGGGATGGTGGTTGGGGAGGGTGTTCCCGTTTGGGCAGGGGTCAGCCTAGAGGATGGCTGAAGTCTTCCAACTCTTGAGATTCTACTGACAGAGATGTTATCTCCACGATCATCAGACCAGGGCTGTTTGGACAGCAAGGCTTGTTTTGTTAAAAAAGCAAAATCACCACATGAATCAAAAGGTCTTTCCACACAGGTGTCACTCTCCTCCTCAACTACTAGACCATGCAGGTCAGTCTGCCACCCCTCCTCCAAAGTAGGGCTTCTACCCCTTTCCTGGGGCACGGACCCTCTGGGCAGTCTTGCCCTTGAAGTCCATGCACCCCTTCTCAAAATGATGCTTTTAGATGACTAAAATTCACAGGATCAAAAAGGAAGCCAAAGATTAGTGAAAACAACACGTATTTTTTCCCTTGTCCAAGTTCACAGACCCTCAGAATTCTACCGTACCTCCTCTAAAGGGTCAGAGCTGGGGAGGGTCTAGTTTGATTACATAGAGCCCACTCATCTGTCTCTTTTAACACGCCTTTAAGACCTTTAACAATAGGATACCCTCACCCCAAATGACACATGATTCAATGACTCTTTCCTTCTCTCATCCATTCAAAATTCAAATTTCACAAAGGTTTCCATTTTCCTGGGAGGAATAATGGGAAAGGCTGAAGACTGTCCAAAGGGCTCATCTTCTCCATCTTTGGCCATTAGTCCCTGGGGTTCAGGGAGAATGGGAAGACTCCCTTCTCAAGGTGATGACAGGCATGACAGACAGGCAGAAAACATGATTTGAAGTATTTTTGGTTTTTTATATACAGAATACAGGAAAGTTTTTGTAAAGTCTAAAACATTACAATTACTATGTACATTGGTACTAGCCGTGAGGGGAGAAGGGCTAAGGGTAGAAGTGGCAAGAGAACAAAAAAGGAGACGAAAACAGGTTTACGACAAAACGTTTTTGCTACAATAGACAATCTGAAGAAAACGTCCTACCACATGTACTGTACACAGCTTTAAAAACATTGAAAAAAATGCCATCACTGGGTGTATTTACACAAAATCCAATATGCTTTTCCTTATTTGAAATACAACAGGATGGACGCCAGAAAAGAGTTAAATCTTCCATCTGTCCACAACACACAGTAGGCTACCTGTAGTGCAACCGCAGCAGGGGAAGGGGAGCCATGGGAGGAGAGTGGGTAGCGATCTTTATATTAAATAAAACAATGATATTGTATAGATTTTGCTGTATGAAAACTGTATTTTTTCTTTTAATATAAAACTATTGTCACTGCCACAAAATAGAACAAGTTTCTGATTATTTTACAACGGTGGGCGGGTGGGCGGTGGGGAGGGAGGTGGGGCAGGGTCCGTCTCGATTTTTGCTTCGGAGGAAATGTGTCCAAGTCCTCGGCCTCCCCTCCCCAAAGCTCCTTTGAGCTCTGGTCTGCCCAGTTCCCATGAAATGTCGAGTACAAATATATGTGCAAATGCCCCCTAGAACTTGAGAAAGAAGAAAAAGGATAAAAAAAGAGTCAAAAGGTTGTCTTCATTTCATGCAAAGGTTGTAGTTGAACAGTTTCTGGTAGAGGATAGAAAAACCCCGGGTTTGGTTTTGTACATTTTTGCACTGGAGGAGTCTGTCTCAGGGTGGAGCGCCTGTGCTCGAGCCTAGGGCACCGAGTTGGAGCGTAGCACGGGGCCCTGGGGAGGCTTGAGGGAGAGCTTCTCAGCAAGGCCCCCGTCCGGAAGGAGGGCAGCATCCCCCTTGGGTGGTTTGGTTGCGAACTCCGTGACACTGAAGACGAACTGGAGGCAGCCCAGCTTGATGTAGCTGCCGTGGTGCAGCAAGGCCGTGCCCTCCCAGCCGGCCCCGCTGCCCCCAATCAAGCTCGAGCTGCTGGCTTTGCAATTACACGGCCACCTCGGCTGTCCCTGGGCCTGGGAGCTCATCATAGCTGCCTCTTCTGTGGGCTCCTCTTCCTGCTTTCGGCTCCTTCTGCGCTCTGTGAGAGGGAAATGGGGCCAGGGTCAGAGCACAGGAGGCCCAGGCCTATCCCAGCACTGGCAGGCTCTTTGGGGATTAAGTAAGCAGAGGACAGCTTACGGGGTGAGGAGGGGGCTGGATGGGGAATTCTGGGCCAATGCAGAAGTCACTGTGTATGGCAGCTGTGTGGGGGAAGTCAAGTGGGCAGAGGTGAGGCCCAGGAATTGGCAGGGAGAAGATCTGTGGGAACTGGAGGAAGGAGAAGGAGAAGGAACATGTATTTAGGGAGCTGGTGTGGGACTCTCTCCCCAAGAGGGCATGCTAACATGGCACTGAAACCAGAACTCTAGAGCTTGAGACGCCCTCAGAGAAGGAAGAGCAAAGGCAGAGAACCTGGCCTCCAAGATAAGGTGGCAGCACCTGGAGCAATCCAGGAATCTCTACCCTCCAGCCAGCCAGTCAGGGGCTCTGTGCCAACTTACTGATGATGCTTTGCACTTTGGCAACAATACTGCTGGGGGGAGTAGGGGGCGTC